CCATTGGAGACTGCAGAAACCAAAACAGAGAGTTTTTTTTTTTAATGTTTTTAAGTTATTTTGGGGGTTTTTTTTTTGGCTTTTGATTCAACTTCTTATGTGGCTCTTGATGAATGGTCTTGATTTGTGTGTTTCTTCTCCTATAAATAACACTTAGGATCCAGCAGTGCAAACTATATTAAATACACCCACATGTGTTTCCATGTATTGTACGCAATATGTAACCATTTATACGAATTTGCATATACGGATACATCGAATTTACTTAGACAATAATCGGTGAAAAATAATGTATAGTAAGAAAACAAGTAGATGTTGGTGTGGTGGGTCTAAACGAAATTTTGATTTTGGGTGTGTCCCATTTTTGTCGAAAATAGCAAATGAAAAGGACATGTGATAATCTTACTTATTAATTGTTTCCCCAATTTAATTATGAACACCCACACCCACCTACAAAATCTTAGACTTATTGTTTTTTTTTTCTTTGGTCAAAATTGTTTTTTGTTTTTCTTGATCAGATTACACTTGTTGTTAAATAATTGTTTCTTGCAAATGAAATTAATGATAAGTACTTCGCTGCTCATTTCAAACAACAATCACTATCAAACTACATTTTTGTAATTATTAGAAAGTAAGGCTAAACGGAAAACAAATTTCCTTTTAAAAAAAAAGAAGGAAAACAAATTTACCTTTTTACTCCATAAAAGTTAATATGGTAGACGAGCCTAAACACACATGCTTGTTTCATTCTATGATTTAAACACACATCCTATCCAAAATTAGTTTGAACTTTGAACCAATCATACGTAAAACTAACCTTGTAAAGTAATTATGCTAAAAATGAATAGTTACAACTTACAACCAACTATTATTTCAAGATACGTAAAATATAATATAAGATATATAAATTAATACATGCATTGTTAACTAATTTTGAATTAGAAAACTTTTAAACTTAGCCATGATAATTTTAACAACACCAAACCCCTAATTTGGGGTTGAAAGGAGACGGATCATCTCATACCGCCTCGCAGTAAATAACAATAAAAAATATGTATGTTTACATATTTGTTATTATTCGTAGATCAAATCGTTTTACGCATCAAATCCCATATCAAATCCCGTATTGCACTGTCACTATTCGAGTGATGATGTATAATGCAAAACTATCCAAATAATAACAAAATTATATTTATACAAGTAAATGAAGTGGATCAAGCTAATTTTTCGAAAGACCTAACTTATGTAGTATTTTTTTTTTGTTGATAAATAAATTATATTTTAAGAAAAAAAAAAAAGACAGTAAGTGATGGTCCGTCCATTTATGTTTTATAATTCTGTTTTGAATTTTGGGACCAGCAGTAAAAATAATTTGTTTTTTTTTTGTTCTACCAATAAAAATAATTCGTTAGTAATATTAGTATACTTTATTAGTAAAGGTATAGTGTTGTATAAAAAACATTTTTTAAAGATAAACGAGTTGTACAGCTTGTCAATGTCATTAATGGCGATACGAAACAGTTGAAATAGGAAGTCTAATAGCCGTTGGATCGACTCATAGATACAAAAATGTAATATCAATTAATCATCTTCACCTAACCAAAACCAAAAACAACAATGTATAGATAAGACCATGTTTTTGGTAGGTAAATGATCGTAATTATAATCATACCAGTGAGTTATACTAACAAATTTTCACGAGCCATAATTTTTAGCAACTAGTTTTATTAATTACCTTCACCTATACCCAAAGCAATATATTCCGTTTTTTGTATAGTTGAGCATGTGATCATTGCTTAATAACAAATTTACAATGACCTTGAATCAATTAGTTAGTTGCCAATTTATTTCAAAGAATCAGTATTTTAATTCGAAATGTTGAATCGAAAGAGTACGAGTATTGATTGCAAATGTCACATCGCATCACGTACGGTGGTCATATAAATCACATGAGATTTTCTGACTTTAAATCAGTCACAACTATTATTATAACTAAATAGTTTCATTTGATTGTTAAGCAGCGACATG